TGCTATTTCGCTTGTGTTACAGTCTCATGAAGATCAGAAGAGAGACACTGTGAATTCCAGCCTCAGCTCTTCAATTACAGTTCTTCATACCTCTAGCATACATTGCAACCGTTATTTTGAAGCAAAGTCTCACAGTCCCAGGGAGTTACCTGTTGAGGTTTATTTCACAGGTAAGACAACTGAAAGCTTGTACAGGATCACTGAAAGAAGTGCAAGGGATGGAAGCTGGGGCAACATGATGCAATACCCTCTCCTCCTTGCCAGTTTGCAACACCATCTTTCACGGAGATCACTCCAACTAGGTGATGTACTATGCACATTAACAGAGATCAGCTTCGCCACTCTGTGCCACTCTCTGGCACTGAATGGTTTCTAGAGAGTTTATAATCCCCTTTGAAGTCAGGGTTAATTTCAGCAACGATTTCAGTGAGTCCAAGACTTTACCACATGATTCAGCTAACAAGAGTTCAAACTTTCCTATCCAGCTTCAGGTTTTGGAGACAGCTTAAAAACAGGTGTTCCTCTTATACCTGGCAATTTTCTTCTGCAACCACTTGATCATATTATCCCACAAAGCATTAACCAAAACTTAAGCTGCAGAGCCAACTGCTCTTCCCTCACTCAGAAGTGGAGGTGGAATCCAGGGGCAAGTACCCTGTGCCCTTCCACAGCCCTATCCTACCACCTGGTTCTGGAGTTGACACAGAAAAAGTACTTACAATGGATCTGATGGATCTGCTAATAACCTATGACTTCTTTGGAAAGGGGAATAAAGATTTACTACATTTCAGTGTGAAAGATGCTTTACAACTACTCTATACTGTAAGATGTATCTAAGAATGAATATGGGTGTATTGCTAGTTTTTTTAAACCTGTTAAATATTTTATGACTAAAGGCAGCTTCTAGGTCCCAAATCCAGTGCTCACATTGCAGCCTGATCACCAGATGAGGCTCTAAGCTTTGATTTTATCATCTCTGTATACATTACCTAGAGCAACAAAGTCCTGGTCTCACGGCTTTTCACATGCAATGATGTAACTCCTCTAACTGCACAAATTTATACCATTGAAAGATGACTTACATGGCTTGTTTCCCTAGGGCTGTTTGGGCCCAGCAGGGAACTTCTCCTATCAGAGGCATTTTAGTAGAGTCACACATCTCTTTGCTGCTACGATTTGCAAGCATGAATGGTAATGAAATAACTGTCTTACATATATTAGGAGCTGGCAGAGTAAGCTGAAAAATGAGACAACCACTAAAAACATGATTTAATATTTAAAAATGAATAAATAATAACCTCATTCTATTTGTGCCAATCTTGTGGCTTATGAAATTCTGGGACTGATGATCTTACCAACAGCAAGCTGACTAAACCACCATGGAGCTGGTGCATGGACAGTCTCAGTATAAGAAGCCCATGTGCATGGAACTAATTTCAGTCTCGGCTGGATGAAGCTTGGGGCACTGAGATAATATTGTTCTACTTTTGGTTAAGGGAGGTGGAAAAGGCTTTTGGGAGAGGACTGTCTTTCAAGTTTTGGGTTTGAATTGGTACCTGTAATGTTTGTGGAGATTGCACATGCAGTCAAACACTGGCCACTCTCAAATGTATTACTTCTTCAGCTTGACTGGGCTATGAATATAACATAGGCTACAAAACTGGTGGTCCCTTGTGATGATTTTTAGCTCTATGTTTAATACAATGAAAGACAAACTCAGTTGCTTGTGCAATATTATAATTAAACTTGCCTAGCTGGAATTATATAGATACCTGACTCATTAGTCCCACTTACACACCTACTAACACCCTAGTCTGTGCAGGATTTAAATCATATAGGATTATGGTTTTGAAGTCTGGACACGTATAGATGCTCTAAGAACTAAGCATCAAAACATTTCCAAATTTTTTCTCAAGACTGGACTCAGAAGAGAGTCAAAGACTGATGATCCCTGCTTTCTTTTATAGACCATTTCACCTAGATTCAGATTCCAGTCTTCTTCCCCTCTCACACTCATTCACCTTGATTAAGTATTACCTAATCCAAGTAAGAAGAGATACAGTCCCGTCTTT